CGAAAAGCGTCCTCAGCTCAGCGTCCAGTAAGAATTCCGGCGATTCTCGACTTCAATTGAAAGATATTAGCTCGCCAGTAGGTGACCGTTGTGTGTTAGGCGTGCGTTTGAGTTTGTCTCCGGCTGCTGAGAGCAGCGATGGAATGGTTAGTTAGTCAGGAGGTGATCGTTCGGGCAACATTCAGCCCAGCCAGTGTCACGCATGGCAAACAGGGCACGGTTAAAATACACATGTTCACCCTATTGAGACCAGTTGTTATGGTGGAAACTTTGGCCGCTTTGCGGGACAGGAAAATATCATCAGATCGGAATGAAATTTTGCACAGAACCTTGTACCATAGTATCGACAAGAATTCCGACCCGGCCCGACGAATCCGACAAACTTTTTTTTTTGCCATGAAAATGTGGACCACCCTAATGACCAGTGATTAGTTTGGAGCGACCGAATCTGGACAAAGTATGTCATGCATCACTTTGTAGTTCCCAATTTAACTTTGACCATGTGGAGCAGCAGAGCAGCAAAAAGACAAACTGGTTTGATTGTGTGCAAACTAAAACGTCTGAAAGTTGATGAAGAGATTTCCGTTCATAAATACATTTTAACAACACCAATTTTTGGGTTGGAAATGAAAGAAAATTTGAAAGTCCAACAGGTCCTTGTCAAAGCTGTTCTCGCACAGAACCAGTGAAGCACGTCCACACTGCAGGGCCTGACGCCCAACTGATTTTATTTTCTTTTTAGCTTTTTTGTTTTGTTACTGTATTTTTCAGTCACAAGTTGGCTTTGAAAATAATTCTGTTGAATTCAAGAGTGATGCCTGATTTTTAGTGATTAATTTTCAGGTCTTTTATTGAAAATTACTTTTGCCAAATTCAAGCCCTTCACATATGACCCACTGTGTTTTTTTCTTTCATGTACAGAGGGGTCCCCAAAGTGTTGTCTATGGCCACTTCACGCTTAATGTTTCAAGGGGGATCAAAGTCGAATCTGATCAACACGGTTACTCTTTAGAAATTTACAGGTACAAACACAATCAAGTTCTCCACCCCAAGTGTCACGCTCCCACACCCCATGAGAGAGAGAGAGAGAGAGAGAGAGAGAGAGAGAGAGAAAACTACAAGAGGAGAGAATGGCGATCAGGCACGTTTGGAAGTATAGTAGGCAGTGTAATATTGTACCGTAAACGGGAGACGCGAAGAGAGAGAGAGAGAGAGAGAGATTTCATTGTCATCCAGCTTCTTTCATCTTAGATAGCTGGCTAAAGTAAAACCTCTCCTTTCTCATAAGCACCTTGAGACAGTAATTCATAAAACCCGCCTCAAAACTCACTTGTGTTTTTTGGCATTTGACTCAGCATGACTCAGATTTGATCTTAGTTTTACTGTTTGGTGATTTCTACCATCTTTGTTACTTACTGTTGTATATGTTAGTTGCTCCATGTACAGTACTTTGTATGCAGCGATGGCTGTTTGAAAGTGCTCTGTAAATACAGTTGAGTTGTGTTGAGTTGTCATATCGTCACTGTCATTTTCTGTTTCAGGTAATATTTTTAATTCAAGAGCATCTCTAGTATTTAGCTCAACTCCTATTACTGTGTAATAAATTCAATTTGAGGGGTCTCAAAAATTTTCTCCAGAGCGTACCTCACATTTTGATCTGCCTGAGAGTAGTTGTGAAAAGACGTTTCATTAAGAATGAAGTACCTGGTCCATGCCTTGGCCAGACTCTTCCTCGTTGTCACTTCCTCCCTCCTCATCATCATCATCGTCCTCCTCATCCCCACCCCACATTCTCTCATCAAGGGTATCTGTCTGTCCATCACCCAGTTCACCCATCTTTTTATCCAACTCTTCCTCCTGGTCAGTGTCTTTATCTGACTCATCGTCATCTGTAAGTCAGAGAGGTTGGAATTCACGAAGTGTTCACGGAATTGTATTCCAAATAAACATACAGTGCTGTGAGGCACAAATCGACATACCAGCATCATGCTCATCACCATCATGTGTTTGGCCATCAAAGTCCTCTGACATCTCAATAGCATTGTCTTCTGCTTTAATTTTCTTGTCATCTTGATGTTCTTTTTCCTGACCCTTCGCACAGGCATCCTCCACCTGAAATATGATAAAACCAGTTTAAAAGAAAATTCTTAGAACATTCTTATTTTGTTATTTTGACTTCAAGCTGGCGCCGCGAGAGTGGCTGCCTTTACAGCAGCTCCTAAATTTTGTTCTTCCACTTCTTCCTTTCATAATTTTGCTGCTGTGAATTGGGAATTTCTCCATTGTGAGACTAATAAAAGTTTTCTTATCTTATCTTAAACATACAGTAATTGTAACATTATATTACACGATATACAGGAATTATCTGTGATAGGATGAGAGGTGGCTGTAAGTCAGTAGTGGTTCAACTCAAGTGAACAACTAAATCACCGCAAGATATGAAAAACAAACTTCACGTCTTTCTAAGAAGGAAGGGGCAAATAATTTTCTGTTATATAATTACTAATTGTAGCCTGTTGAACACACAATGGGGTGATCAGATACTGTATACTGGTTCTAAAACGTTGCCTATTTCTCGATCTATAATAACATACTGTTTATGTAAAGGCAAAGCAAAATCATTTTCTTTTCAAAGTAGTTGAGTACCGAGTAGAGAGTAATTGCCACATTTACTGAACAATGGTTACAGGATGGTAAAGAATGGTGAACAAACTGGTCCAAGCAATTGGCTGCCTTTTGGTCATGGAAATTGGAAAATGCAAAGTGCTGGGCTGTTCACAACTGAGGGAGGTCATTAGTTTAAAATAAATCCAGCCATGGACATTTTGGCTCTCAGTGAGAGTGATTGGGAAACTTTGCTGTATGGGGTTTTGAGGCTCCACATACGATATTGATGAAGTCGGTGCGAAGTCACGGTCAACTGGTCTCACATGGAAATTTGCCGACTATTTTGACAATAAAGCAAATATCGTGTAAACATTGTCACTGCAAGTACGATATTGGTTTTATTTATTTATGTTTTGACTGTTTTCATGGCTTATAATTACCACAAGAAATTTATTTTGTTGACTCAATTGTCTTCAGAAGTTTTATCTTTCATTTATTGTTTTGTTATGCCATTTGTATTTATGTTTGATGTCCGTGTTTGTAACCAGTTCTCATGGCTTTATTACAGCTGCAGCGATTGTGAAGGCTCAATATAAATAAAGCTGTATTGTATTGTATTCCTTTATTGTAGCACCATCTAGTGTAGTCCTTTCTCAAATAGTGGGGCACGATGCGATGCCAGGGAGGAGTGCGTGTGACTCTGGGGAACATGCTTTTTTTGCCAATGGGTAATTGCACAGCCACGACAGCAGTTGGCAGTGACCCCCGCAATGTCAGAGAGTGCGTAGGGAGTATTAGCTCTATGGTGTCATTTGGTTTTTTGGGATTTTTTTTTGCACCGAGCATGTGATATGAAGTGTAGGAAAACAAACCCTCAAGAGACAAGATGAAAAGAAAGGTGGTGTGAGACGAAGATAACGAGACAAAAGAAAGTCACCCGAAAGCTAAGACAAGGAAATATGATGAAGCGTATGTCGCGCTTATCTTCACTGTCAAGACAGGTGTGTTAACTGTGTCTAAAAATGCTGGCAGTGTGCAGCCAAATACACAAAGGTGCCACTTAAAGACATTACAGTGTTCCCTCACTTATTGCGGTTAATGGGGACCGGGACCCTGCTGCGATAAGAGAAAACCGCGATGGAGCGTTGGCTCCCCCTCCTAGGAATTTTTGTGTAAGTATATGTGGAAACCAGCATGTTTAAAATATGTAAACAGTACTTAAACTTTATATATTTGAGACAAAGACTACAGCAGCTGGAGTTCACATTTTTACTTAAATCTTTAATAAAACCTTATACAGTGGTACCTCTACGTACGAAGGTCTCTTCATAAGAAATTTTCCAAGTTACGAAACATCTCAAGAGGAAAATATTGCCTCTTGTTACGCAGGAAATTTCAAGATACGCAAGGTAAAAATACAGTATGGCTTGCTCCTCGCAGCTCCGAGTTTGCTGAACGCAACATTTTTATAGCTGCTCTGCTATTGGCAATTACCGAGCATCATCCTGTCATCCCATTGGCTAAGAGAGACTTCTACCGTATGTGTCAATGTGGGTAGATTGAAAGATATGTGTCTATGCGGCGTCCTCGTCATTCGCCCCTCGGGCCATGAGATGTTCCGATGTGACTCACCCAGAAAAAGTGTTAACCCGTCGGCCGATCGAACCATTTATGTCTGAATTTTGGGGGGTGCTTGGAGCGAATTAGGGCATTTACATAGAAAACGCATCTCTACTTACAAAAATTTTCGAGTTAAGAAATTTCTTCCAAAGCCAATTAATTTTGTAAGTAGAGGTACCACCGTACAGTAATTAATATTCATCAGTCTTACCTTTTGAGAGACAAAGAGACTTGTGTTACTCTCACTTTACGACACCGTACAGTAATTAATATTCATCAGCATTACCTTTGAGAGAGACAAAGAGACTTGTGTTACTCTCACTTTGCCCGCACAGCCGATGTGTTTTTGATTATTATGACAATTAATCGGTATTGATGAGGAGGAGGCGAAGAGAGAAGTGCTGCTTTTTTCGGACAAGCCCAATTAGCCCCTCTCTTTCTCTCTCGCTTATGCTCACTTTCGCTTGTGCCGTGCAGAAAGGCGCTCACGTAGCAAACAACAGTGTGATGAGGCACATTATAATTTTAAAGTTAATTCTTTGTTGGAAGTTGAAATTTATTTCGTTTTTTTTTCCCCTTTCCTTTAATGGTAATGATACATTGATACAATGTATTGCAGAGATGCATATATAACACTTTCCTAGACAAATTATGTTGTTCATAGTGGCGGCAGAGAGTGGAAGGGCGCAAATTGTTTACTTCTTGATAGGGAGGCGCGGGGGGCGTAACAAAAAAATTGAGCACAGCATTACCTGATCTTCATTCTCAATTGTGTCACTGACATCCTTTGTGCCCTCGCCTTGACCAATTCCACCACCTTCATAATCATGAAACTCAGTGGCACCTTCACCTTCTCCAGTGGTCAGCTCCTGAGGCAAGCAGAAACCCTAAGGAGAATAGTGAGAGGAACAATAATGCGGTCAACAAAGAAATTACATCGCTAATTCATGTTGAAACGGACATGTTTCAATCGGTGAAAAAAGTTTATCGTAAAATAAAGCATCAGCACTGAACACCAGAAATGAACAAGGACACTATCAAAATTCCTCCATGGGCTGAATAAATCTATCTAGCTACCTAGCACGCAATCTTTTTATCTATCCATCCGTCAATCCATCCATCCATCCATCAATTTTCCAACACTAACTGATTTGTAATGTAGAAATTACCCAGCATCAACATCTGTTTTCTCATCATGTTTGCAATTAAGTTTATTCATACATTTATTTAGGGGCGGCACGATGGACGACCGGTTAGCATGTCCACTTCAATTCTGGGTTTCGGTCTCCCTGTGTGGAATTCACATGTTCCCCATGCATGCGTGGGTTTTCTCCAGGTACTCCGATTTCCTCCCACATTTCAAAGCATGCATGAGAGGTTAATTGAACACTCTAAATTGCTGCAGGGTGTGATTGAGTATGAATGCTTGTTTGTCTCTGTGTGCCTTGTGAGGAAAATGCGGTAGAGATAATGGATGGCAATTTATTTCGGGGTTTGTAATAACCTGCCATTTTTTAAATTAAACTCATCAAGACACACACACGCACGCACGAACATTTATATATATATATAGATGTGAAACACACTGCACATTTGAAATTTCGTCCCTCTCACATTTTTTGGCTTTTTTTAAAATAAATCCTACTTCACGGATTTCACTTATCACGGGTTCTTTTTGGAACGTAAAAAACGCCAGCCAAAAACCACTTCTGACAGAAAACATGAACTAAAGAGGGCAAAAACGATGAGGACGCAAAAAAGTTAAAAGTTAAATGACCATCATTTTTATTCTTTACTCTATTCTTTGTTTTTTTTACATTATGCACAACCAGCCATCTCGTTACTTCTGCGTCCCGCGTCCGAGAAGCAGTTTTCCCGCCAGACACACAGTTCCGAATAATGTTCGTTTTTGGGACGCAAGGAAATTTCTCAGTCAAAAAAAACCCTTCGGTGAATATTTTTTTCCAGCAACGATCGCAGTTTGACAATCGCTGCCATTGTTGTTTTGATCTCGCTTGAAGTAATCTCGCGTGACGAGATTTCCGTTCTCACGAGATGAGATTGGCGAGATCGGCCTTCACCTCGTGGAAAGCAGACGATTGCCAAGTTGTGGAACATTAAAACAAGTCTTGCGAAAGTTTCTTGATAAACTGATGAATGTTCAGTGGCACATAAAGTTGACTTTGAGAAAGCCTTGCATCATTGGAAGCAGAGTAAAGAGAGGAGAATTTATGAACTCATAAAGACGGAACCATGGGATGAAATAAGAACCTATTTCTCAGCAAATCTTGTATGCCTGAATTATTTAAATTTTTGCAGCATTTGTTGATAAGAAATAAACCAATTATCAATGCATATTGTTGTTGTTTGTGTTATTATCATATGCAATTGAATAAGTAGACCATTTCAGAATTCGAAATTTGGGACTCTCTAAATGCATAATGGGACTCATACTTTTCTGATCAGCGAGTCCCTGGGACTCGCAGGGCTCAAACTGTAAAATTATCACTGCACAACTCTCATTTATTGGGCAATAATCTAATTGTAACATGTAGTTGTTCCATATTTTGATGCATTTTTATGCTTTAGGAAACATTTATGTCTGAATTTTGGGGGGGCTTTGAACGAATTAGGGCATTTACATGGAAAACACGTCTCTACTTAGAAAATGTTCTCGTTAAGAAATTTCTTCCAGAACCAATTCATTTCGTCAGTAGAGGTACCACTGTATCGCCATCCATCCATCCATTTTCTGATCCGCTTATCCTCACAATGGTTGCAGGGCGCGCTGCAGTCCATCTCCGCTCTCTTTGGGCAGTGAGTGACTTGACCCCACATCTGTAGTCTAATATTCTAAAGCGGTCTTTGGCTGTAAAATGTAATTTTAATCTTTTTCAGAATTTTCCCAAATAAGATCTGTAGAAGATAATCTGTCTTTGCTTCTGCTTATCCAAACGGTTGCTTTCCATCAATAATACTAAATTTCCGAGCCGTCGAAGACAGATTATCTAGTTTCTGGACTGACGATGACTTTTTCCTTGAATGACTTTTTCTTCTTGCCATGAAGGCCAAATCTGTGGAGTGCAGGTCGAATAGCTGTCCAATGGACAGAGTCTATGCACTGTGGATTGCTGGAACTCCTCGGGTGCCACAGCAGCCTGTTCGATATTTCCCTGAGCAACACTTTCCCTGCCTTGAATGTCAGTTTAGGTGGATGGACGGTTTTTTGTAGGTTTGCCCTGTGCAGTCTTGTCATGCACTTTCCATATTTAGATGATGAAATAAGAGTTGTTCCCAGAAGGGAATACATTTTTCTTGAATCACCCAACAATTTTTTTAAAAAATTGCATGCAGAGTTCCTTTGGTTATTATTTGTGGGGGGCAACAATAAAGCCGCCTGAATACTTTTGCAGGCCACAATTTTCCAATTTTCATTTGTTCCCCCCCCCTAAAAAAGTTGTGTGCCAGTTTGTGTTGGTATAATCACATAAAATCCCAAGAAAATCCTGTTTCAAATACTTGCAGTTTGACACCCGTGGATTTGGATATTCGTGTGTAAAAAAAAAAAAAAAAAAAAAAAAAGACCGCAAGTTTAAAGAAAATGCAGTATACGCATTCATATGTATAATACATAATTATATAAGATTTGTTTACGCTGTACCTTCTGTGCGAGCTCAGTGAAGATGTTAGCCAACACTGAAAGCAGTTTGCCGGTGCACCTGTGCACTCCCACTGACACAGACAAGAAGTAACGGACCAGGTCGGAGTAAATCCCCAGCAGGGGCTCCACACGCACCAGCATCCTACATGCTCTGTTCACCTCCTAAAAAGACAAACATGTTTGATTCAAATGTACTGAAGTATTAAAGTATTTAAGTTCAAGAAAAGAAACCACCATCCACCTTCCTTCGTCATACGAGAACAGTACCACCTCGAGTTTCAAATTACTAACCAGCCAAGAAAATATATATGTCAAAATTCTCAAACCTGGAGCTTCTTTGGCTTTAAAGAGTTTGTGTGCATCTTTAAGCAGCTGAGGAGCCTCTCCAGCCTGGCGTTCACATCTCCCACACACATAGACTCCACATCAGCAGCCAGCTCCTCCTCCAAGTGATGGGTGAAGTGTCGTGGCTTCAGTAAGTCTTCCACAAGCTCTTTGCCGACCTCTTTATCATCACTCACTAGACACGATTTGAAAAATCAGACCACAGATCAAAGATATAGTGACATCCTCATACAGTGAAACTCCTCTACAACGAAATCATGCAGCAAGAAATTTTTCACAACAGGGGGCTTTTCACTGAAGCAAATTTTATCTCAGATGTAAACACACACACGCACGCACACACACACACACACACACACACACACACACAAAACTTATGTGTTAACTCTTTATATTTATTCACACATACACACACACACACACACACACACACACACACACAAAACTTATGTGTGTACTCTTTATATTTATTCCAATGCATAGTGCATAAATATGAGCATACACATATTTGACACTTCATATAGCCAGTGTAGAAAGAAAAAAATGGGAAAGAAATTGCGAAATTTACGATCAGCATTCACTTTCACTTAGATCAATTTCTTGCAGAATGTCTTTTACTTTGCTTCCTCCATCTTTCATTTTGATTATTTTTATCCTGTCTTCAAGCGTGAATGCTTTTCTTTTCTTAACTCCTTGGTCTGCAAAGGTCCGTTTCGTAGCCATTTTATCAATGGAACGTTCGTGCTGCGTCTGAAACTAACAACAACAAATACTTCCTGGACTGCTGCGCATGTGTAAACCAGTGTGGTAGTTGCCGTTTCCGAACGAAGCAGCAGTGGTCGCTGTGGCATGCTGTGGTTGGATTAGACTTTTGCGGAAGGTTTGTTTTCATTGTAGTGAATCTCGTTGCGAGGCAAGAACAGAGAAAAAGATTTCGTATAACGGAACAGGGGAACTTTTCGTTGTAGGGGGAGCAGAAAAGTGGGAATGGCTTTCATGCATGAAATTTTTTTCACACTAGGGGGGGTTTTCGCCCTGTAGGTTTCATTGTCGAGGAGTTTCACTGTATATCAATTTTTTTTATTTTTACTCAACTCAACTGTCTTTATAGAGCACTTTCAAACAGCCATCGCTGCATACAAAGTGCTGTACGTGGAGCAATTTAACATATACATCAAACAGTAAAGCAAATCGATAATAAAGACGGAAGGATAACAACTATTTTTGAGCTTGTACTTGTGTCCTTCAGACTTGCAAAAACAAACAAAAGAATAGAGAACCTTTTGGTTCGAAGACACTGATAAAACCAGGCAACATGGCACACTATACTTGGCATTAGAAGCATTGCATTGTTCTCACCTGTCTTGTCAACTTTTTGAGCGCTTTTCTCAATGTTCTCCCTTCTCTTTACAAGAGTCTGGACAGCACACAACAAGCCGTTTATGTTTGCATCGAGCTCAGTCGAAAACTCCAAACAGAATGCAGACTGGTCATCTGAAAATAGTCAAGCATGAAAACAGAAATTACATTGCACATTAGTTTAAAATTGCCTCTAGCGGCCCTCTATTATATACTAAAGTTTCATGCATTCACCTGAGGTAGGGTGGACATCTGAAAGATGCTGGTTCTTCCAAGAGGTAAACTCCGTGACGTTTGTCATTGCTTCTTTCCTAACAAACTGTAGGCTCTGTATGATGGCTGGCATAAGGTTTCTATTGCTGAGAGATGTGGCTGGCATGAAGAGCTGTTCAATATCAAACAGCTGAGAGGCCACAGTTGCCAGCTGGTCAAAAGCCGAACAACACGTAACAAAATGCCTCCTACGGAAAGAGTAAGGAATTATTTCGGGCCATTAAGTGTGGATTTGTCTTTTATTAAAAATCCCACATGATTGTGTTACCATGTCAGAAGTACTCTCTCTGAGCTCTGCTGTGTTATTCGGTGAAGCTCGGTCTTCAAGCTCAGCATCTGCTTCAGCATTGCGGCTACACGCTGGTCGAGTTGACTCCAGGTGGCATCTCCTTTCCTCATGTGGCAAACGGGCGGCTGATGTTGAGCTGCCATTGGGGATGTGCATCTCAGAGAGTACAGCCAAGATTTACTATTCTCCTCCTCCTGCAGCTGAGGTGGTTCGGGGCAGCACTGCACTAGCCAGGAGAGCTGCTGCAGGAGGATTGAACACTGAGCAGCAAGAGCATGGCCTTTGTTGACCCAATCGTACAGTGGTGCCTGAGGCAGGAGTGTGCCGTCTGCGTCTTCTCCTTGACTTTGGAGTGTATCCTTGATATCTTGGATCGTGCTTGTTAGCCTCCTAACAAAAAAACAAGAAAATAGCAAACTGTTTTGGTGTTGACTTACAGTACCACTCCCAAGACTTTATTGGTATGAGGAATTTATGAATGATACTATTGTTATTTTGGATTTATTTTCATCCATCCATTTCCTCCAGTTCATCTGGGATTGGGACATGAGGAAAAGCAAGGACTCCTCCCTCCCCTAGCCACTTAACCCAGCTCTTACAGGAGAGATCGGGAGGGGTTACTAGGACAACTGTGAGATATAATCTCTCCAGCGTGTCCTCGGTCATCCCATGGACCTCCTTTCAGTGGGACAAGCCTAGAAGACTTCACCAGGGAGGCGTCTAGGCAGCCTAACTAGATAACCATGTCAATTCAAAGGACACCTCTCCATCCAAAAGAGCAGCAGTTGCTCCCCGATGACAGAGCTTCTCACCCTCTCTCTGAGAAAGAGACCCGATGACAAGCAACGGAAATTCGTTTTGGCTGCTTTTATCCATGACCTTGTTCATTTCATTGAGTGTCGGAATGGAGATGAACCGGTAAACGTAGAGCTATGCATTTTTGGCTGCGCTCTTTCTTCACAATAACAAACCAATACTGAATCTGCATTCCCACATATGCAGCACCATGTCACCTGTCGATGTCCTGCTCCCTAATCACTCACTGTGCAAAAAAGATCCCAAAATACTAAAATTCGTGAACAGGATTCCATTATACACCTAGGGGAGGGAACTCCACACTTTTCCGAGTGATTACCATGGCCTCAGATTTGAAGGTGCTGATTCATATCCCAACCTATTTTCATTCGGACATCACTCTGCCACTCTGGATCGGTATCCAGCAAGAGTTGAAGATCGGGATTTGATGAAGCCAATAGAACCATAATCAACTGCAAAGAGCAGAGATGCAACAGTGAAGCGACCAAACTAATCAGGCTCTGAACAGAGTCAGTGACAAAGGGCAAGCTTGGTGGAGTCCAACACTCACTGGATTTTCCTTCAATTGTTCGGAAAATGCTTCCTTTTTATTTTCCGAGATGACGCCCGAGTAGGCAGCTGTCAGCAAGTGCTCTTCAAGAGCCTTGCTTTTTTTGTTGTTTTTGTGTTTTGTTTTGTCACATGGTGGTGGTTACGTCGTGTGGACCTGATCTGTTCTTGGTGGTTGCGCCTTCTCGGCAGTACTCGAGTACGAGCACTGATTTAGATTTTAATTGGGAGTAATGTCGGCGCCATTTGACTGGAAGTGCTGGACAGCCCCGGGGCGCTTGTGTATTTGCGCCTGTAATGGGCAGTATTTTTCACAGCCCCGTTTTGTTCAGCAGAAATGTCAGTGCTGTTGGACAGTCTGCGGCTGGATGGATGGATGGCTTGTGGAGCCGACGATGAGAAGAAAGGAGCGGCAGCGCAGAACGCCGATGCGCATGTGGAACTGGGAGTCGGCGCTTGGAATTGAAGCGGATTTACATGGGACAGAAGATGCGAGCCAATCTCGTGTCGTCAATGGACGTGTGAGCTTCTTGTTTGCTTTCAAACTTAGCTTGTAGCAGACGTGTACATTTTCATCATGACGTCTTTGAACCACTGGTGAAAGGGAACTGCCTCAAACAACAAAGTGTATGCAGAAAAAGTGGTTAAGGCTGCACGACTGTCTGTGTCTTATGTGTTGTGTTGTATTGTATTATTTTGTCATTTTATGTTAACTGTTCTGTTGATGGCGGTGCGGGCACCCACAGAGGCTCCAAAATCTCGAGGAAAGACATTTCATCTGTGCTGTTTGTTGCTCATAGAGCACATTGAACAATAAAGTTGACTTCACTTGACTTCCTATGGTTTCACTGAATTCCTTCCATGCCCAAGTTTTTAGCTCAATTACCAGCAAAGCTGCATTCTGCTCAGTCTGCTGGTACACAACGACTGCTCAGGAATACAACAGGCTAAAAAGGCCTGAGAGGATTCCTGGTGGAGTGGATTTTGACACCCCACCCCCCGAACCCACAGACATTGATCACATTTCCTGTTAGTCATGTATAGAAAATCATCAGGAGTGGACAGGAGTGGCAAGATGGCCCCATCAGTTTCCACTCCCCCACCCACTCCGACAGAGACTTGGGTTCCACTCCCCCAACTAAGCAAATACAAGGACTGAGTGTCATCATTAACGGTAGATTAAAAATTCTCTACGTAAATATGCGGGATCTGGTGGCTAGGTAGGCAACAGTGTACTTTTTATTTTTATTTTACAGCTGTCAAGAGTGGGATACAAAAATGTTTCTTACTTTTTGGGCATGCTGGAGTGCTGTCTTAAGGGCATTTATCCTAGCCCATGAACGGTAGAAGTAACGCTGACATCCATCCCCTGCGATGATCAACTCTGACAACAATCTAAAACAGCAAAAATTAAATGCAAAAATACAAAGCATGGGTGGAATGAAAACCACACAAGATACATTTAGATCCGGGGTAAGACATTTTACAAAGGGCCCACTTGAGAAACTGGAACCCAAAATGATAACTTCAGCTTTGTTCGGCACTATTTTTAATGTATTGAGAAAAAGTAAATTGTCTTCTTTCAATTAAATGCCACGCTTACACTGTAGGTTTGGGATATATGGTTATAATTATGAAATACACATTTTACATAATGTCATGTTTTGTGTGCTTTCGTTTTGTTTCAGCTCAAGCTGGAGTGGAGGGCGTTCCTCCAACGGGGCACTTGTTCCTTGTTATAATCAAGCCAAATATATAAGGACTCTGACTTCTGTCAGTCCTTGTTGGATTAGTTACCTTGCTCGCTGTTGTGCTATAAATATTGTTTTCTAGACCTCTCGTTCATGACAATAGTTGCTCTCTATCTCACAGAGCTTTGTTTTTCAGTACTTTTTATGGTTTTTTTCTACAGATTTTGGTTTCATGTATTTGGAGTCTTGCCATTTCCTTTTGTGTATTTTCGGATATTACAATCACTTTGCCTTTTGCAAGCACCTTTTGTTCAAACCGTATTTTTCCTGGCTCTTTGTTGCCAGCGATTTCTGTTTGTACTTTGTCAGTTTAGGTTTTTGTAAATAAACATTTTTGTTTCATATTTTATCATTGGTCCGCCTTTTTGGGATCCAAACATTATTCAGTTCGTTCCTCCTTTGGACAAACATCCATATATATATATATATACATATAAGAGAGAGAGAGAGAGAGAGAGAGAGAGAGAGAGAGTGAGAGAGAGCTTAGTAGTGAGGCACTCATATCAGCGGAGCCCCATTCTTTTTCAATAGGCATTTATGGGTTTTGATCGCACGGAATTAAAAAAAAAAAAGTTATGATCAGAGCGCAGCCGAAATGCATCTCTTGATTTATCATTTGTTACATAAATTAAAGTGTGTAGGCAAAATTTGGTTTTTAAGAGATAAATATGAGCAATATCTAAGATGGGCTGCTTAGCTCCACTGACCTCTGTTTCTAGTTTGATTCAGTGATTGCTCCACAAGGGACCGACAATAATTAAGAAGTTGGAGTAACTCTTAGAACTGTATCCCTACTTTTGCACCTCCATCTGTGGGCGCTTGCGTGAATGTAAACCGAGCAAGCAAGAGTGAGAGAGCTACCAAGACACTGCAATGGACCGACCGGTAGGTGACCTGGGGGACGAATGTTATTTTGGAAATGAAGTGGTGAAGTTTACAAGGTCTCAGTAGACTCGCACCTGGTCTCAGTAGAGTCGTGGTTCATGACAGTAGCGAAAGCTGTGCTCATATCCAATGGCTGTATGCAGAGAGTTTCCTCTTGGTCAGCAGTCCTGCTCCATATCAACCCTTTCCGGTATGACAGACCTCATGGGACATGGAGAGAAAATGGCAGTGTTTAAACTTCTTTATATTTCTAAAAATGTTAACATTGAAAGTTGAACTAACCTATTTCCCTAAGTATTTGGAACAGGCCGGACAGAGCTCTCTGCTTCTGCTGCAGGATGTGTTTCACCTGAGCTGTCCGTTTGTCTTTTTCCACTGACATGTCAATGGTGAGACTTTGCAGGTCATTCAGATTTCTGAGGACTTCGCCTAACAGGAAGAAGAAAAACAAAAAAAAATAATAATTCATATTTTACAAATAAATGGCATATCCAGCGCAGGTGCAATCTAAATCGAAACATGCATTTTTATCCATCCATCATCTGAGCTGCTTATCCTCACAAGAGTCGTGGATGTGCTGGACCCTACCTCAGCTGTCCACAGGCAGTTTGTAACGTACACGCTGAACTGGTTGCCAGCCAATTGCAGGGTACACAGAGTCAAAACAACCATTCAATCACGCCTAGGGACGATTTGGAATGTTCCATTATCCGACCACACGTTTTTTTGGATCGTGGGAGGAATCCGGAGAACGCTGAGAAAACCCACGAAGACACGGGGAGAACATGCAAACTCCGCACAGGAAGGCCGGCACCCGCATTTGACCCCTGGACCTTTGTACTGTGAGGCTGACTTGCTAACTAGTTAGCCACTGTGTCACCCCTTGCATTTTTAAATCATAATTTTAAATGGGACTACAATACTACATTTTTCTGTTTTAGTCTTGTCCCACTCCAATGAATTACTTATGTAGTTTGCGTTTGTTTGAATTTTTCTATTACTGGTACAAAATGACGCCACATACAGTAGACCCATTTTTAAGTGATAAGGCATTATTGGGTAGATTACATGTTTCTGAAATTGGCCAATGAAGAAGTGATGCAATTCACGTAACCACTATGCACGTTGATATAGAGTTGGGTTCACAAATGTTGGAAATGAATGTATTGAAAAACGATAGAAATAAGGGTGTAGGAATTCAGAGAGTTGGTCCACCATTTGGTGGCCATCTTAAGTTTTGGCTTTTCTCTCATCATGAAGTTGCATATGTTTTGCATTGCTCAGTTTTTCGACTAAAGGCCGGGGCCTCATCTTGGTGGGACGTGCCCAGAAGACCAGGAAAGATCCTAATCAAATGGCCAAGCCACCTTATTAGCCTTATCTCAATGTGGAGCCCGTCCTAGATGACCGAGTTTCTCACGATACCTCAAAGGCAGTGTTTCTCCTTTATTTTTTGTTAAGCCCCCCCCCCCCCCCCCCCCCCCCACACACCTCCACTTGGGAGAAAAAAAAACATTATCCGCCCTGTCAGCTTTTCACTGCGACTGAAATGGCATAATATGTCTAGAATATTGTATTAAGTACTCTTCTGCATGACGTATCCTTAGTCACAACAATATATAGATCTTAAAAACTTAAAACAAAGAAGACTCAGTTAACAATTTTTGGTCTGTAACAGTAGTTGATGTGCAATTCCACTTCATTTTAGCATGCCAAAAAAAACCATGTTCCATGGGATCACACGCCCTCCCTCCGGCACCACTATTTGAGAAGTACTTCTCCAAGGTAGAGGACGCCACCCTGTGGAGGAAACTCATTTTGGCTCTGGTGACCAGAGGTGAGGGTGGGAACGTAGGTTGACCAGTAAATTGAGAGTTTCACTTTTGGCTCAGCTCCTTTACCACAACGGATCAATACAAAGTCCACATGACTACAGAAGCTGCACTGATTCGCCTGGTGAGCTCCCATTCTATTATTCCTTCACTCTCGAACAAGACCCCGAGATACTTAGCACCTCCAGTTGGGCTTGCTTTGGCGAAGTCCAACTCTCACCGGAAACAAATCTGATTTGCTGCCAGCAATGCAGAACAAACTGAGGCCAGTCATACAGCCCGAGTTCAGTACCCATACTCCCGTAGCACTCCTCACAGAACGCCTTGAGGGACACAGTCTAACGTCTTCTTCAAGTCCACAAAAAGCACAGAGAGAAGTTGAGCGAATTCCCACGCACCCTCAAAGACCCTGCAAAGGGTCGAGAGCTGGTCCGCTGATCAGCGGCCAGAAGGAAAACCACACTGCCCCCCATGAATCTGAGATTCAATTTCCCGACCTTACCCTCCTTTTTAAGGACCTCTGAATAGACCAGGGGTGGGCAAACTTTTTGGCTCGGGAGCCACATTGATTTCTAAAATGTGACAGGTGGGCCGGGTCAGCACAAGATAAAAAACTGCATTATTGAAGTCCATACCAAACATCAACAGAACAAAAGCATTCAAGTATTGACATTTTTTTTAATGAGAACAGTGAAACAACTATGGTATCTGTCCTGTATGAACGTCCAAGTATGTTCACAACATACATGTGTGACAACACAAGCAACAAAGTGCAACAATATATTGCCCAAAAACTGTTTATAACACAAAAACTGCAGCATACAGTACAGGTATATGAACAAAATATAACAAAGTTAGGACTATTTGCTACAAAATTGAGACGAGTAAGGGACCTGAAAGCTTTTCTTTCCACTCACTCACTGTCTCTAACTTGACCTCTCCTCGATCACCACGCAAGGCATCGTTGCTCAGCTGATGTCGTGCAACGAACTTTTGAAGCCAGCGACGGAACGCTTCAAAGTCCTCGATGGCCATAGTTAGCGCTATGGAACTCGCCTCCTCTCTTATTGGCGGTCCAGTTTGCGGAAAGTTTTTGGAACGATAACAGTCAAACCATTCCAGGAAACGTTCATTTACTCGACTGTCCGTCGAGCCGCAAGCAATTCATTCTGAGCATGGAAATTGCCAGCATCGGACTGAGCAAGAATCGCTTCCTCGTTTTTCAAAGTCTCACAGATTTGAGTCTTTCCGACTCCAAACATCTACTGAATGTTTCGTACTTTGTAACCCACTTTGTTTAATTAGATACATTTCACTTTCTCTTCCGCGGTCATGACTGTTCCTCTTCGTTTGGATGCCATGATCTACGGGACGTAAATGTAAATGAATGAAATTAAAAACTTTTGCAATTCCAGTAAAACTCACTGCCATGAAGAGTCACTTGCATGTCGCCATTTTGGATACAATGAGAGTAATTAGCGGCGCAGACACAGTTAATCCTTTGTATTGAGCGGGATTTGCTTGAGTTTGCGCTACTGCGGGCTGCTGGATGGCTTCCGTAACTTCCATTGTTATGAATCGATCGTTAATGTAATATAGTAGTAGAAAGTTTAATCCATAAATTTGTTTTTTTTACCGGGTTCGGGGATTTCCGTTTGACAGAGGTCCGCAGGTGGTAGATAAGATTTCTCTATCTCTCTCCCTCTCTCTTCGTCTCCCCCTCCCTTCCTGTGCTTTGCAACTTCAAGTAACTGCGCCAACTGGCGTGAAATGCCTGTCATTACAAGTCCAAATGAAATGAATGCAATCATTCACATTGAACCTTAATTGTGTCCCAACCTTCGGTGGGCCGGATAAAAAAGACCAACGGGCCGGATCCGGCCCGCAGGTCGTAGTTTGCCCATCTCTGGAATAGACCATACCAGGGACGAAGAAAAGTGTGATCTCCCTGTAATTCAAACAAACGATCTTCCGAGATGTTTCTGCACTTACCACACTACAAAAGTGCATCCCTGATTCCTTGTGTCAGGTCTCTCACAAAGGTAGGCAGTGATTTCCTATTTCCAGACTTAAGACTTGTCTTGTGTCTGGGTTTTTTTTCAGTTTCGTTCATGTTAGGGTCTGTTACGGCTGTTGCTCATCATTGCATGTGTGTGGGCATGCGTATGCATGAGTTCATGTGTGAATGCGTAATCAGTCAAAAAAGGCAGGGAACTTCAGTTGTAGAGCCAGGTCTAAAACTCAACATAAGCTTAAAAAAGCTTATGCTCCTTAGTATGTCAAAAAAATTATGTCAAAAGTCACCAAAATGGGAGTGGGGGGGGGGGGGGAGGCCCCGTCAAGGGGGGCGTGTTTGACCCCGGGGAACATGCTTTATTTTTTGGTTTTGATTTTTTTTTTTTACTGTCCGATAATAAAGTGCAGTTGCACCTTCACTACATTAGGGGACAGTGGCACTCTCATTGGCAGAGTTTGCGCAGGGAGCATTCGAAGGGAGGAAATATGACGAGGCGTAAGTAGTGCTTAGCTTCACTATGACAATGGTGGTAGACGAGGAAAGACCGGTGTGCTTACTGTGTCTAAAAATGTTGGTAGCGGACAGCATGATGACGCCAAATAAATTAAGGCGTCACTTAAAGACATTACACCCCAATCACGCTGATAAGCCGCTTGAGTTTTTTTTCAGCGAAAACGTGCTGAATATTGCCAACAATCATGCCGCTTTGTGACTGCTACTTCAGTAAACTAAAATACAGGTCCCGGCTACACATTGAGCAGGAGCTGAGAGTTGCTGTGTCCTGCTTCCAACCTCGCTTCAAAAAGCTGTGCACTGCAAAACGTGCTGATTGTAGCCATTAATCCAGACATCATATGTCATTTAAAAAAAAATCACCACAAATTATATGTTTTTATTTTGCAGTTTAAAGGTTTTTTTTTTTAATATTGTGCTCCTGAGTTAATGTTGCTGATCAGTTTGAATGCATTTTTATTTTTGGATTTTATGTAATTTTATTTTTCAGTACCGTGTACTTATAACAATTTTATAGACAAATTATATGATTTATAGTCGCGCGGGTGGGCGGGGGCAGGATGTTTTCTTCTTCCTGGGGGGGAGGGGGGCATGACAGAAAATAATTGAGAAGCACTGCTCTATGGAGAGGAAAACACCATCACCATAAATCTCCTGGACTCTAATTATCCCCAGAAGAGGATAGTTCGAGCATGTTTTTTTTTCCCCTCTCCCTCCCTAGTGGTTTACTTTCTGAACTAAGATCTCGGGGCGCTTCACACAGCGAGTACCGACAGGCCCTTTGCACTGTATCCATGTTCGTCATTGTTTTTCATGTTTCTTGTGCAGAGCGTGCCTGTTAAGTGAAATTTTCGTTGCACGAACGTGTAATGACAATAAAGGCAATTCAATTCAATACTATGGTGAATATTCTATTTTCAAGAGGTTCATGTTCGCATTGATTAGTAGCTACTGATCACAGTTTTCGGACATTAGGCGACATTTAGTGAACTACATGTTTTAACTACACGTTTAGACTATCACTGTGTGTCACAGTATGGCAAGTGAGGAGGCACATATTGCAATAGAGTCGGCAAATAATGATTTGGATCCGTTTCATAAAAGAAACCACGGGAGCCGCAAACCCTTTGGACATCTAAAATGAAGATCGATGCTTTTCATTTCTACTGGAGATACTAGTTGAACTCGGTGGCCCACCGCTTGAAGCGATACTCCGAGCGATGTTCCCTTTGTTATATTCGTAACACTGAGTTAGAATGAGCCAATGCGATTTGATTGGCTCCAACATGCCTGCAACCGTCGTGAGGATAAGCGGTTCAGATAATGGATGGATGGATGATAACGCAATTAAAAGCAATGGTTCAGTAGTAATCCAATGAGTTCTGGCTTGATGATCCTCGGAGCAATTTGTGAAGGCACCTTCACAAGTTGCCTCACTTTGCCAGATCCAATACGGATGCGACGCCAACGTCCTCAAGAAGGTGACTATGTACCATGGTACCTCTACTTACAAACATGTCTTCATACGAAATTTTCAAGTTACGAAACGTCTCAACAGGAAAATATTGCTTCTTGTTCCGAAAGAAATTTCAAGATACGAAAGGTAAAAATGCATGATGGGCTGCTACTCGCAGCTCTGAGTTTCCTGAATGCAACATACTTATAGCTGCTCTGCCATTGGCTATTACCGAACATCATGCTGGCATCCCATTGAGTAAGAGGGATGTCTAGCATGTGTCTGTGTGTGTAGATAGATAGATGTCTATGCAGCGTCCTCGTCATTCGCCCCTCGGGCCACGAGGCATTCCAATAGTTTTACGTAAATGTGAATAATTCAGAAAAAGTGTTTACCAGTCAGGCGATCGCTCACTATGCTGATGTATGCCTCGGACATTTTCAAAGGATTGCTAAAAGCCGACAAAAGCAAACGTCCTTGGATCAGTTCTTTACTAAATGCCAGGCAGAAACCACTTCCGAGAGAGAACATGGATTAAAGAGGGTAAAAAAACGATGACGCAGTTAAAAGTTAAATGACCATTGATGACGCAGTTAAAAGTTAAGTGACCATCATATTTATTCTTTATTCTATTCTTTGTTTTTTTTTTTTTATGTATTCTTTATTCTATTCTTTTTTTTTTTTACATGATACACAACTCTCATTTATTGTGCAATAATATAATTTTAACATGTATTTCTTGCATATTTTGATGCATTTTTATGCTTTAGAAAATTTATGTCTGAATTTTGGGGGGCTTGGAACGGATTACGGCATTTATATGGTAAATGCGTCTCTACTTACAAATTTCTAGTTTAGAAATTTCTTCCAGAACACAAATCTCTAAGTAGAGGTACCACTCTATATGTTTTGCAAATGTTGTCCGTGATAATACTTGCCAGTGGTTGTCGCAACGGGCGTCATTCAAGACATTTGACTAGGAGTGGCAGTGCTATGTGGAGCAATACAGTACGTATAAGTAGTAAGGGTATGCGTAATCGGACGCCCCCATGCATTTCATGTGCGATGGGTCTGCGCCAAGACAAGCCTTTGGATGCTGCCCAGCTGACACTGCACCCGAGCCCCTTGGCCCCTCTGACAGGGCAAGGGTGAGGAAAAAAAAACAATGCTGCCAAATTATGGAGGATATATCAAAACATCTTTTCATCTGAAATCCATGTAGATTACCTGTGAAGAAGTCCAGATCTTCAGTGAGCTCCATTGCTGGGTGTTTCTTTACGTATTGGACACATATTTTCTTCATCTTTCTGACCAAAACTGGCAGACGTCCTTGCAGTGATTCCAACTTGACTCCTCTATCTTGTTCCTCGTTCTGAAATCCGCAGATCATCATCAATACACTTAAGTAATAAACCCATTCACTTGAGATGTGTATAATCTAAGATAGAACCAAACCTGATGGTCTGTGTTCTTTCCTGGCAGGGCTTGCTTGAGAGCCTGACGAATTCGTTGAATGGGTGTTTCATCCGAATGTAATTCAGTATTGTCAAGAGAGACGATGTTTTTCTGTTCTACCAGAACAGTAAGACAGGGACCATTCAGAATCTCCTCAAACTTCTTGACAAACTTGAAGAGGGTCCTCGACAGAAAAAGAAAATAGAGCAATAAGTACTTGGAAAACATTTCTAAAGATTAAAATCACTGCTAGAAAAACATTGCGGCCAGTGGGACAATTTCTTACCGATGTGTCTTTTCCACTGACTGCTTGATAGACCAGAAACTAACATCATTCCACTTGGAGATTTTGACAAAATCCTGCGATGAATGAAATTGAAATGGTAGTGATTAATTGTCGTGATTTCATTATTATACTACACAGTTTTTTAATATGCTATTAAAAAATAAAATAATTTTCTATGTACCTTGAGCTCCTTCTCAATCGGCTGTCTGAGCTGTCCGATTTTGTTCTGAATGCAGTCTGAAAATTGACTGTAATATTTGTGTAGGTTCCACAGAAGATTTGACAATGTCACTGTGAGGGAAGGCAATATTAATGGTGGTTATTTTGCTGCCAACCCGAAACAGTCAAACAAACCAGATGCTAAAATGTGCTTCAAATAATACAAATACAAGTCAACATTAATCATCATAAGAATCCAGGGTCGAAATACATCTTTTAAGTAAACACTGAGATGGTGCAAGGATAAGAATATTGCAAGAGCTGGTGTACTACCTAAAGACTTAAGAAAGACATGGTACAGTCCCAGAAACATAGAAAACAGCAAAGTCCCACCATTACTTCTCTAATAAAAGTTGTAAAAAGCTTGTTTACCGCTCATGTCTAATCATCTGAATTTTTGCTTGATTTTCACCCTAAACACGATTTGCACAGAGAAGGCTCTCTGCGATAATGATGGACATCTTTCACAAAGTTCCATCAAAAATGAATGTATGGAGGAGCGCTTTTAAGCGATGGAGAAGGCGCGTTTCAGATAACTCTTGACAACTTCAACTATTTAAACACTTAAACATATACAAATTTGTGATAAGAAAAGGTGAAACGGCGTGTGAAGATATACATATCAGTAATATAACTACCAGAAGAAAACTGTCGATAAAAGGGACAGTTCGGAAAAACGACCAACCAGATGCTAGCCCCAACCTAGACGAGAGTGTTGCAGTCTCAACATGGTCGAGAGCTGCGGGTTTCCGACCCCCGCAATAGAGCCTACTCTGCAGAGCGCTTGATGTCTTCTTTTCTGAGGACTTCTGAGAGCAGTCTGTTCCAGGTTTCTTAGTCATTTTTTCCACCAGCAGTTTCTTGGAAAGCCCATCATACATGAGTGGTGCCTTTTTGTTTCAGAGGTGCTATGAGGCAAAATGGATCCAAGTCCAGCTACTTGGCTCAACTTCTACTTCATGGATCTGACGACCCTAGTCGTAACTCTTTGGTGAAATTTGAGCCAAGCCTCATTTTTTTTTCTTTTTCTTTGAGAAATGTATTGAGGTAAGCAAGTACAGCCGGTCATTTTTTTGTCTCACAGCCAACTCACAGAGCTTTGTTCTCCTCTTCTCTCATCTGATTCACAAGTATGATTGATTCGCTCTGGGTCCGATTCTGCAGGTCTGTTTTGGGCCTGACACTCTGCTAGCCTGCCCTTTTGACCAGACCATACCCAAGGTATTGGCATCTTCACAATTTGCTTCATCCACTTTGCCACATCCACTATTGCGTCGACGTACTCAAGAAGGCATCTTTGTATATGTAATGTAAATTTTGTCTATGATAATGCTTGCGGTAGTTGCAAAAGGCGACATTCAAGATCAGATCGGCAGTGCTATGCAAATAGATGGAGCAAAGTAAGTTGTGTCTGTAGGTATTAACTGCCCCAATGCATTTTATGTGACCCTTTTCAGGCTCGGCTCTGGTGACGGGTCTGCCTCTGCCATAAAATCCAAACATGTCCATCATGAGGGTATGTAAACTTTTGACCATAACTGTGTGGTGTCACAAAGAGAAGTGCAAGCTGACCTTGTCCAGGCTGAGTGGGGAGCAGAAGGAAGTGACAGTGAAAGCTGAGTAACATGGCCAAGCGGGTATGGAACTCGCCCAGGCTCGAACCCTCCACGAAGGCTTGTAATGTGGATGACAATGAGGACAGGGACAAACCTCCCAACTCTTCGCCTACATAGGACAAGAATGTCATACAATGATGGAAAATGGTCACTAAGCATCTCAAATCACAGTAAATAAAACGTGAATGTTTTAAGAGCAGGGTAGGGGCAGTCATCATCCAGTTGTATGGTTCAGATTACTGTCCCACTTATGAAACAGCAAACAGAGCTGGTGCGTGCATACCTGTATTTGCATTCATCATCTGATCTTCCAGATATTTTGCTAAGAGCTGGTAAATAGAGAACCAGTGCTTTGTGGATTTCTCAGTATGTCGTTTCACAGCATTGTCCAGACTGCTTGACCAACAACTGCCACAGAAGATTGCATTGTCTACCATTACTATATATACACACCAATATTTACATTAAAAGTTATCCACACACACACACACACACACACACACACACACACACACACACACACATATATATAAAATAATATACAATAGACACGAGGAGGGACATGCTGTTTCACAATCATGTCACAATAGGGAGGCGGTAGGACATCCAACATGTTCCTATTGGTATGTTAATGATAATAAGAGGAAACTGGATCTATCAATCAATGGACTGTAAAAATTTGCATAGTGTATTCAACTGAAACAAAATGTATGAAATTAAATAAAACAGACACATTATTTGTCACAATACTTGCAGGTATAGTCCTGCAACAACGACTATATTGTCTTACTTTAACTCCAGTTTGTGCCACTTGATAATGAGCTGTGTAACTGGTGCAATGTTGCTCTGCAAGGAGACCGCACGGCTGGCATTATTCTCCCAATCCTGACAAAAGCAATAATCAAAACATTAAAATATGAAATACCTATCAGATGCACAGAATTAAATAATGATAAAAACGAACGTTTTTTTTTTCTTCAGCACTTTGCTTAAGCGAGATACTAGAAAAATCCTGCCTACTACTCAATTCAATTTTTATTGCAGGAACAGCCGGTCCATATCGATAAAATACAAATACAAACAGATAAGGAAAAAAAATAAAGATGGAAAATATTATTTAGTGATGTCAAACAAGTTGCAAACAGATCTTACTTGTGCTTTGCTCAGTAGTATCTCCAAGCCATTGAGAAACTTTGCTACAGGACTGGACAAGCTGAAACCCATGATCCTCTCAATCACCACAATCAGCTGGAAAGAAAAAAAAAAAGACAATTGAAAAAAATAATTATATTGAACTTCTTTCTACATTGTATTGGATACAATTTATCAGAGGCAATCAGCCTTTATTTTCAAAAGTTGGATCCTGGAATGTTGGAATTCTTATCTGTCACTGACCTGCACAAGCGCTGGGTGCTCCGGCCAGTCCTCAAGTCTCTTATTTACAGCTACCCTCATCTGTTCCAGAACAGGAAGACAGAGGCGGGCCTCACTCATATTGGGGTGCTGATAGAAGTCATAAGGCCCTTCTGAGTTGAGAACCAGAGTATCTGCTCCTGGTGACCCTTGCACTGTGTTCTGGATGAGAGTTGACAGCAGCAGCTCACTGCCTGTAAACTGCTGGTTTAGTTCTGCAAATGTAGGGGGAACCGTATTTAGACCAATTCAAAATTATTAATAAACACAGTACATTTGTATTGGAGAGCAGTGTTTTTCAAACCCTGTGCCAGTGTGCCGCGAGATATTGTCAGGCGTGCCGTGGGAAATGATCCAATTTGTATGCCTGTGTGGTCTACCGCCTGGCAGAGTAATCATGTAGTACTCTTCCATACCGGGTAGCAGCAGCAGCTAGCTAATGGCCTTATGCTTCGAGACAAATGATGTTTCCGGCGCGAGGCAATACAACGAAAGTTATCTTTCATTTAGATTTACTTTTACCAGAGATGCAATGGCACCGACTCCGTTGTGCTTGGTATGTAGTGAAACAGCGCTATGGTCCCTAGTAAGCTTAAACTCCATCTCCAAACAAATCACCGTTCACTTCGAAACAACAATGTGGAGTATTTTGTTCGCCTGTGTGAATACACGGAGAAACAAGCAATGTGCATGAGAAAAACCGCTAAGGTAAACGAGAGAGCCTTGAAAGCAAGTTGCCATGGCGCTGAACATGTGGCTAAATCAAAAAAGTGGCAGAGCAATTAATACTCCCCGCCTGCAAAGCCATTGTAAATGAGATGTTCGGACCCGAAGTGGCGAAAGAAATAGCCTGACTGCTGTAAAAACTAAAACAAGGAAAGAATGAGAGCTGTGGAGGAAGAGCTTCGTGTGTCTTTCATCGACTGCTGCCAGGATATCAGATCTGTGTTCATCCAAACCATTTATCACAATGACTGAGAATAAATATGAAAGATTCTAAAATATTGGATTGATGTTGATTTGATTCCTATTGAAGGTGTTTTAATCTAGCGTTATTTTTCAATGTAAAAAAAAAATGCTTATCATAACAACATAATTAATTGTTAAAATAAGCTTTTTTTCCACATTTTCAGTTAGTGGTGTGCTGCAGGATTTTTTCAATGAAATAAATGTGGCTTGGCTCGAAAAAGATTTAAAATCACTGTTGTAGAGCACAGTTCGGGAACCTTACAAATATTTAAAAACCTCCCCGTCACCCCTTTTGGGGGCACCTGGCTCAGATAGTAGAGTGTGTATTTGTACAAATGCAAGGGTACCGTATTTTCCGTACTATAAGCCGCATTACATTTTTGCAAAAGCCAGCAGTGTGCCTTTTAATCCTTATTTATGGATCAAACTACTGATTTCTTGGACGTAGTGTAAAGTGCTTTGTAACAACTGCAGCGTTTGTGAAAGCTCAATAGAAATAAAGCTGGATTGTACTGTATTGTATTCCTTTAGCGCAGCTCCATCTAGTGGATGCATAACGCAACTGCAGCCATTACTGTGGCTTCTATTCTATGCGCTTTATAAGTGCGCCCAACATATGATAACAGTTTTAAAATAGACCATTCTTTGAAGGTGCACTTGACACTCCGAAGCACCGTATAGTGCGGAAAATATGACACTCCGTAAAATCTCGAACCGTCCAGTCGGTACGCTCTTCATGGGACAATATGGCCTTATGGACACCATTTTAGTTAGAACAATGCGGCAGCAATGCGCCTGCTAATTATATTATGTTTTCAAATCATTGAATGTCGGGCTTTGCGTGCATTTGACAATGATAATTTTGAATAGTGGACTAAATCAAATGTTACATTATCCGTGACTATAGTGAATTATAAAATGCTCAACAAGACTGTTTAATCTCAAAGTTTGTTTCACATTTCAAAACTTCGTGAACTGCTGGGTTGTCTGTCGTTTGTATTTGAATGATTGTGGTTTCGATTCCAGTTCCTCATTTTGACTCTGGTTCCAAAGGATTCTCAATTCTGATTATTTTGGGGTGCAAGGTCAAAAAAGTCTGCATGGCTTAAATAAGGGCTCTCGAAACTGCAGCCATCCGTTTTAAGCGACCAACGGGAAAGACTAGCAAACATTTGACACAGCTCTTGGGCTTTGGGTGGCAACGTCTGTTTTTATCTCTCACTTGTTTGTTTCCAAACAGACACATCATTCGGTAGGGTCACTGACCACCCCAAAATCCTTTAAAACCTTTTAAAAGTTTTTGGGGGGAAAACTAAATTTAAACATGAGTGTAAATGAGTGTACACGAATTGCTTGCACTGATGGGCTAACCTAATCTAGTGAACCCAATAGATAAACAGAACACAATTTGGTAACCCATTCTAGATTAGTGGAATTACCTTATAAACTCAAAAACTGTTCCTCATTGGGGAAAATTAGCTTGCCTGCCAATTTGGGAAATCTGCCTGCAGCACTGTGGACACATTATTGTCTACTGCAGTAAACAAGAACACACTGTGGCTTGGTCTAAAATAATACTTGTGTTTATTCATGCTAGCTTGTGATTTGAGTTGACCCGCTCTTTAGTGATACGATGCCACCATCGTGACAATGAACATATTTTATCCTTTAACTCACCCAATTATGTCTTCGCTTTTGTTCAACACGGGACACTCCGTTCAGTCTACATGTCATGCAAGTGTTGCACTGAAAAACGCTGTCCACGCATACAGAGCGTATCAACTAAACAATGCGTACCGACTAAACAGTTCAAGACATACGTACCATATTTCCCACACTAAAAGGTGCACTGGATTATGTGGCGCACCTTCAATGAATGGCCTATTTTGTAATTTTTTTCCATATATTGGACTCACCGCATCATAAGACACAATCGACAATGCATCCACTAGATGGAGCTACGCTCAAGGAAATGACAAAAGAACACTACACTACACGACACCCCACTACACGACACCCAGATTTAGATAGCGACGATCAGATGTCAGTAAAACTTAATTAATAAAGCAGCGACACAGTTCACTTAACCAACAGCAAGTTATAACTGAGTCGTAAACGTTGAACGCTGCTCTATTTCCATGTTCAACTGCGTAACCCCATCGCCTTAAGTTTGAACTCTGCGTTGTAAGTATGTCTCGAGCAAGGAGCCATTTTGGGGGTTTGACATATTACCGTACTAACCATAAACAAGGCGCATCAGATTTTAAGGCGCGCTGTGAGCTTTTAAGAAAATGGAAGGCTTTTAGGTGCGCCTTTTAGTGTGGAAAATCAGAGTACTGTACTCTGTAATATCTTGAACCATTCAGTTGGTACGTTCTGCATGCTCTGCATCCTGTATGTACATACATAAATACATGCAGTACGTACATACATAAAGTCCATACATGTAAATATGAAAATTATTTCCGGTGAAAGTTAGTGAGAGTACAAATAAGGATACTCACCAATTAGATGATAGAAGTGTGCAATCAGCGGGGCAGCAATTTGGTAAGAAGAAACCATGGCCTTGATAAAGTCATTGCTTTGACTGTTGGGTAATCTGCTCCGGTACCACAATGACTGAGCATAACCAAGACATAGGCGCTGATGAATTTGCACGACTGTGTTCATTGCAGGAGTCGACAGAAAACTTTTTTCATCGAGCCCCCTACTGGCTTCATCTTCCTCCAGGTCTGCATCAGTGGGGCCCTCCAGGCTTGGCAGAGACATGTCTGAAAAGTCCTGGACGGAAAGTGATAATATGAACTCTTAAAATTCAGAACAAATCTTTGAATACATTTCCCTGCCAATTAAAATATGAAGTATAAGTTTGCACAATCACCCTTTACTAGTGTGTCTCTCATCATTTGAGCTCCTTGTCCCAGTCTAAAGTTATTCATACAATTCTGACTGTAATTAGAACTGCCCGTCAATGAGAAGCATTGTCAATTCTATGATAAGTGCATATGGGCCTGTCTGCTGTGTAGGGCAGCAAACTCCACTGACCTAAGATGCCAAGGAAACAGCCTCGCAAATATGATGACAGACGGTATTGCTTATTTCTTGCATCATAGGGCGCTTTGAGTGTAAGGGGTGCCTTCAACGAATGGCCTATTTTCAAACTGTTTTCATATACAGTGAAACTCCTCTACAACGAAATCATATTTGCAGCAAGAAATTTTTCACAACAGGGGGTATTTCACTTTAGCAAATTTGATATCAGATGTAAGCATAGACACACCCGCACACACAAACGTATGTGTACACGCACACACAAATGTATGTGTACTCTATTTTTATTCCAATAGTGCATAAGTATGAGCACACACTTATTTGACACTTCATATTGTCAGTGTAGAAAGAAAAAAGGGAAAGAAATTGCGAAATTTACAATCAGCATTCACTTTCACTTACATCAATTTCTTGGATAATGTCTTTTATTTTGCTTGCTCCGTCTTTCATTTTGATCACTTTTACCCTCTCTTCCAGCATCAGAGCTCTTCTTGTCTTAGCTGCTTGACATCCAATGGTCCGTTTTGTAGCCATTTTAGCAATGCAACGTCCATCCTCGTCTGAATCTAACAATAACAAATACTTCCTGGCATGCAATGAACTTTTAAGCCAGCCACGGGACGCTTCGTAGTCCTCGATGGCCATAGTTAGCTCGCGAAGGCTAAAAACCTTACGCTAACTGGAGCGCTAATGAGAGAGAAGCGCTCCAGTTGGCGTAAGGTTTTTAGCCTTCGAGAGCTAACTATGGCCATCG